CGCCTCCACCTTTCTACCCTTCTCTACAAAAAGTAAGGAGGTTAAGAGGAGAAGGAAAGAGGGAAGGAGGAGGGAAGGAGGATGGAGGGAGGGAGGGAGGGAGGGAGGAGGGAGGGAGGGAGGGAGGGGAGGAGGATGAGGGGGGAGGGAGGAGGAGGAGGGAGGGAGGAGGAGGGAGGGAAGGAGGAGGGAGGGAGGGGAGGAGGGAGGGGAGGGAGGGAGGAGGAGGGAGGGAGGGAGGGGAGGGAGGGAGGGGAGGAGGTGTAGGGAAGGAGGAGGGAGGGGAGGAGGGAGGGAGGGAGGGAGGGAGAGTGATGGAGGGAGGGAGGAGAGGGAGGGAGGAGGGAGGGAGGAGGAGGATCTTCCAAGTCTTATGGCTAATTAGGGGAAGGGAAGTTGCTGTCTCTTATGACTGTCTATTGCTTAGTGACGGGTGGGGAGGGGAAGGCAGGGAGGGTAGGGGAGGGTAGGAGGGAGGGGGAGGGTAGGGGAGTGATGGGGAATAGGGAAGGAGAAGGGGGGAGAAGAATGTGGGTTGGGGAAGAGGGAAGGAAGGGAGGAAGGATGGTGTAGGAGGAGAGAGAGAGAGAGAGAGAGAGAGAGAGAGAGAGAGAGAGAGAGAGAGAGAGAGAGAGAGAGAGAGAGAGTAATTTAACAGTGTGTAAAACCAAACCTGTCCCATATAAGAGTTGTTTACTATAAGACGACTACACACACAGAGTGAACACCGGTTATATGGACCTTACCCTCTCTTACTCAGGCTTATATACAAAGTGATTCCCATAGGCCTGACGACTCTTTGGGACCCAGTCACAAGAGGGTCGACTCCGAGTCTAGGGCGTAAACCGAGATTCTCAAAGACATTAGGCGAGTGTTGTTATCCAGGTTATATAAAGACATCAAGTGAGTGCTGTCGAGGTTATATAAAAGACTACAGCAAACAACACACAACAGCAGTAGCCAATAGAAGGAATTAGCACTGGTATTGTGAAGAAAAAACTCATTCCTGATTGGCCAGTGGTTGAGATAACGACTCAACCGTCCAATCACGGGCCTGATCTGAGGAGTTTTTATTTTTTTATATTTTGATTCATTTATATTATTATTATTATTACGTCAGGTTAGGTTAGGTTAGCTTTTATGTCAGGTTAGGTAAGCATATTGTCAGGTTAGGCTTTTACGTCAGGTTAGGAGGTTAACTTTTACGTCAGGTTAGGTTAGCCTACGTCAGGTTAGTTAGGTTAGCTTTACGTCAGGTTGTGTTAGCTTACGTCAGGTTAAGTTAGGTTACTTTACGTCAGGTTAGGTTAGGTTAGCATTACGTCAGGTTAGGTTAGCTTTACGTCAGGTTAGGTTAAGGCTTTTTACGTCAGGTTAGGTTAGGTTAGCATTACGTCAGATTAGGTTAGCTTTACGTTAGGTTAGGTTAGGTTAGCATTACGTCAGATTAGGTTAGCTTTGTCAGATTAGTTAGCCTTTTACGTCAGATAGAGTTAGGTTAGCTTTACGTCAGGTTAGGTTAGGTTAGCACACGTCAGGTTAGGTTAGGTTAGCTTTACGTCAGTTAGTTAGGTTAGCTTTACGTCAGTTAGGTTAGGTTAGCTTTAAGTCAAGGAGGTTATTAGCTTTACGTCAGGTTAAGTTAGGTTATTAAGTCAAGAAGTAGGGATAAACTACCATTAGAGAATAAAACTTAACCACCAAATGAAATAAACTGAAGTGATTAATTTCCAGGTAGTCCTTTCTCCTTCCCCACCCTCCTCCCTCCTCCTCCCTCACCTCATTCCTCCGGCCTCCACCCCTTCCCCCAATCCATCCTCAAAAGGTAAAAATTAATAACACCAACAACCTAATTTGCTATAATACAAGATGTGTTATGTGTCAGTGGTCAGTCATAACGCGCCACAACGAGTCGTAATTAGTGTAATACTGTTATCGTCGCTTTAATAATGACATCTTGATACTAAAAGGCTTAATGACTTGTTTGGGTCGAGGTAATTAACGGGTGATGAAGGTAATTAATTAGTGGTGAGGAGAGAGAGAGAGAGAGAGAGGAGAGAGAGAGAGAGAGAGAGAGAGAGAGAGAGAGAGAGAGAGAGAGAGAGAGAGAGAGAGAGAGAGAGAGAGAGAGAGAAGGAATTGCTATGGGTCCAAGCCCAATCGAAACAGGCAGACAGGACAGACAGACAGACAGACAGACACAGACAGACAGACAGACAGACACATCTTCTCGACAGCGTGTCATCCAAACAATAACCGCCGCCCATCAGGTCACTCAACCAATCACCGACCCCCATCCAGCAACTGAACCAATCACCGCCTCTCACCAAGCAAAACCAACTAACCAAAGCCAATCCGATAACCCAACCAATCACCGCCGCCCATCCAGCAACCCAACCAATCACCAACGCCCATCTAAAAACTGAACCAATAACCGCCCACAAGACGTCTTCTCCCGGTGGATATCAACCAGTGACGGTTATTTCCCTAGCGATTCAAAAACAACCAATCAAGAGCGACTAGGGGCCCAGAAGAGAGCATAAGAGTGTTTATGGGAATTTCATTAACCTCCCAACATCAAGCCTCCTCATTGGTCACTTACCTCCCTACACCAAGCCTCCTCATTGGTCACTTACCTCACTCTGACAGATAGTTTTCCTGCCATTGGCTCGTCGCTGGACAGTGGCAGAGCGATGCGGGCGGTGATTGGCTGACAAGTGTCCGTCTTCTTGGTCCTACAGGCGAGTCCTCGAAGTCCGACATCTTCTTCGAATCCTGCAAGAGGTACCATGGTCAGTAGGAGGTACCATAGTCAGTAGGAGGCACCATAGTCAGTAGGAGGTACCAAGAAGAGAGTACCATGGTCAGTAGGAGGTACCATGGTCAGTAGGAGGTACCATGGTCAGGAGGAGGTACCATGGTCAGTAGGAGGTACCATGGTCAGGAGGAGGTACCATGGTCCAGGGGAGGTACCATGGTCATAGGAGGTACCATGGGCAGTAGGAGGTACCATGGTCAAAGGGAGGTACCATGGTCACAGGAGGTACCATGGGCAGTAGAGGTACCATGGTCAGTAGGAGGTACCATGGTCACTAGGAGGTACCATGGTCAGAGGAGGTACCAGTCAGTAGAGGTACCATGGTCAGGAGGTACCATGGTCAGAGGGAGGACCATGGTCAGTAGGAGGTACCATGGTCAGGAGGAGGTACCATGGTCTGTAGGAGGACCATGGGGTAGGAGGTACCATGGTCAGTAGGAGGTACCATGGTCAATAGGAGGTACCATAGTCAGTAGAGGTACCATGGTCAATAGGAGGCACCATGGTCAGTAGGAGGTACCATGGTCAGTAGGAGGTACCATGTGTCAATAGGAGGTACCATGGTCAATAGGCAGGCCCATGGCTGACAGGAGGTACCATGGTCATAGGAGGTACCATGGACGTAGTAGGAGGCACTCATAGTCAGTAGGAGGTACCATAGTCAGGAGGAGGTACCATGTCAGTAGGAGGTACCATGGCTCGGGAGGCGGTGCTACACTGTATCCTGGTCAGCTGATATACATTTGTGAGACATAGACTCTCTCTCTCTCCTATTACACTTTTCTCGTCACTAGAGATCCGAGAACACAACACAACACAACACAACACAACACAACACAACACAACCAACCACTTAATCTACAACCTACAACTCTAACATCCAAAATGGCTCTGAATTGGCCTGAGACTCTACTAGTGTCTCTTTGATCCCCAGTTACAAAAAGGACAATTATCGAAGGACTCTCAAGGATTGTGTCCCGTTGAGAGGAGATCGTAGGATTTGTCTGGCCCAAGTAGATCTAGGTATGGGGTGGGGGTGGTAAGGACCTGAGAGATTAGGACCTGAGGAACGTCTTGGGATTGTACCTGGGATTGGGGACTTGGAGGAACGTCTTGGGATTGTACCTGGGGATTGGGGACCTGGAGGAACGTCTGGGATTGTACCTGGGGATTGGGGACCTGAGGAACGTGTTGGGGTTGTACCTGGGATTGGGGACCTGAGGAACGTCTTGGGATTGTACCCGAAACGTGTACCGAATTAAGAACCTTGAAGGAATGTCACACCACCCACGACCTATTAACCGTGCACCTGGCAACATACCTGTGGATTAGGGACCTGGATGAGTGTTCGAGGCCTCATTATGCGGATGTTGTTATTGTTCTCGGGAACGTCTCCGAGGACGACGTTAACGAGGGCGTACTCCATCAGCGGAGCAGAAGACGAACACGGTGCACGAGGACATGAACACATCGATGGCCTGCCGGAAGGAGTGGAGTAGCTGTTAGACTGGTACCTTGGTGATCGGATTGGACCGCTATAGAATATCACCTTGCTAGAACTGTCACCTTGACCCACCAACATCACCTTGACCCAACATCATTACCTTGACCCACCATCATCACCTTGACCCACCAACATCACCTTGACCACACATCACCACCAACATCACCTTGACTCACTAACATCACCACCAACATCACCTGACCCCAACATCATTACCTTGTCCCACCAACATCACCTTGACCCACCATCATTACCTAGACCCACTAACATCACCTTGACCCACCAACATCACCACCAACATTACCTTGATATAAGAGACAGGAGGAGAGACTTCTGGGAGTTAGCGTGTTGGGTGGAGAGGTGAGCAGAGAGGTGACTCCAGAGTGACCTGGGCGGCACGGCCCGGTCTGATCCAGAAACTGATCCACGACATGATGACGATGAGGCAGGTGGGGATGTAGTGGAACAGGAAACTTCAGGCGGCGCTTGAAGGTGAACACGATCTCCAGACACGTGAAGTTACCTGTAGGAGGAGGATCTGGTGAGTGGGTGTGTACCTGTAGGAGGAGGACCTGGTGAGTGGTGTGTACCTGTAGGAGGAGGACCTGGTGAGGTGTACTGTAGGAGGAAGACCTGGGTGAGTGGGTGGTACCTGTGGGAGGAAGACCTGGTGAGTGGGTGTGTACCGCAGGAGGAGGACCCAGGAGGGAATGGTACGAGGAAGACCTGGTGAGGGGTGGTACCTGTAGGAGGAAGACCCAGAGGGTGGTACCTGTAGGAGGAAGACCTGTGAGTGGTGTACCTGTAGGAGGAAGACCTGGTGAGGGTGTACCTGTAGGAGGAAGACTCAGTGGTGGGTGTACCTGTAGGAGGAAGACCAGGAGGTGGAACCTGTAGGAGGACATGGTGGTGTGTACCTGTAGGAGGAAGACCTGGTGAGTGGGTGTACCTGTAGGAGGAAGACCTGGGAGTGGGTGTGTACCTGTAGGAGGAAGACCTGGTGAGTGGGTGTGTACCTGTAGGAGGAGACCTGGTGAGTGGTGTGTACCTGTAGGAGGAAGACCGTGAGTGGGTGTGTACCTGTAGGAGGAAGACCTGTGAGGGAATACAGGAGGAAGACCTGAGAAAATAGGGACCTGTGACTATTACCTGTATAGAAAAACCTGATAATTATTCTACCTGTGAACAGTACTGGCTGACGCTGTACACACTCTCGGATCATACATTAACCACTATTTCTTCATCTACCTCTCTACCTCCACTACCTCCACTACCTCTCTCTACCTCCTCTCCACTACCTCACCTTACACCACCATTCCTTATCGTGTCAGGCATTCGTTAACTCCAAGGTCATAACGTAAAGGTCATATATTACTACCATATAATAGTAGGCCTATGAGTAAGCCTATGTGCCCCCTAACCTCAACAACATCTATCTATATTTTGGAGGGGGAGTGGTGAAGAAGTTATTAGAGTAGGTTACGTAGGGGTTAGGTTAGGGTTAGGTTAGGTTAGGTTAGGAAGAAGTTAGGGTTAGTTGTGTTAGGTTTGGTAGAAGTTAGGTTAGGTATTTGGCTTTTGCTAGGTTAGGCTAGGTTAGGTTAGGTATATCTCCAAGTCATTAATGTTCAGATACATTAATATTATCATGAAAATAATAATAACAATTAACCTTAAACTTTCACTATAACAAATGTGTAATGACTATTGTTGTTCACACACACACACACACACACACACACACACACACACACACACACACACACACATACTTCTGCTCCTTCAAACTCTCAGACCCATTTCAGAAATTGGTCAGTGTGCTCGCTCCAAATTTGGCTCAAAGGCCTTTCTGGCTTTGATGTCCACCGCTTGCCCGTGTCACTGAGTTTATGAATAAAATTATTATATTGTATTAACCTGAGTCATCCTGCAAGCTGCGTGGGTAAAGGCGTATCCCATCTGGTGTCCCCACGAGGCAGTCACTCTGGCGACACCCCTCTCAGCTGCCTCTTTAAACTGTCCAAGTTTGCCTCTGAAATCTGGTACTCAGTGAATTTTCCTTACGTCTGCCCTGAAAATCTAACTGGAATCTAATTTCTTTGTGATCGCTGTTTGCAAGTTCGTTCTACCTCGACATTGTAATGAGGTTTTCTTGTTCGACAGAACTAAATCGAGTATATTAATACCCCGTGTGGGTTCGTTATATGTTGACTTAGGAAACAGTCCGGATCGTCTCGAGAAAATCCTCTGACTTGAGCGCCCGTAAGGTCAGTCCAATCTATTGCCAAGGTTAAAGTCGCCTACTATACAGACTTTGTTGTGTATGGAAGCCCTCGCATTTCATCCCAGATAAGTCGCTCATTAACTCTATCAAGATTGGGAGGTCTATATATTACTCCTGTGATTAATTTTTCCCGACCAGCGCTTAATTTTATCCAAATTGTTTCTGTATTCTGCTCAGTTTTATTTCCTTATTTATTTCACACTCAGATTATCCAACATAGATTGCCATCCGCTTCCTTCCTGTCTGCCCATGAGTATGGAATAATTTGAAACCGCAATTTGATATTCGACCGGTAACTCACGTGAGTCTAGGTTGATCCATGTTTCAGTGAATGCTATTGTATCGATTTTTTCGGTACATACCAAGGCCCTAATATCATCCATTTTGTTTCTCATACTTCTACTGTCCGCAGAGTAGACATTTAAGAGTGTTCTGAGTCCCTATCATGTTTATTTTAAACTCCCTGTTTAATTTAGTTTTGTCATCATTCCGAACACTATTTCCTGTAATCTTTTACTTTGTTTACCCGCTCCCACTGCAGTTTCCCCCACCCCGTGACCCATATGTTCCCCTACAGGTTTAAACTTCGATATCCTTGAACTGCCCCTCTAGAGACAGCCGGTTGCCACCCCATCCGAGACAGGTGCACCCCATCCCTACATAAAGGTCCTTCTGCCGTAGAAGTTGTCCCAGTTGTCAATGAATGGGACTGATATTGACGCAATATCTGTCAAGACGGTCGTTGACACCAACCGCCCTTGACAACCATTCACTGCCAACTCTCCTTCTAGGCAGGACACAGCATATGATAGGATCCTCCCTGAACCTAATACGTCCTATAGCTGCCTTGAACTTATCAAGAGCTCTCCTCCCCACCGGCCAATATCATTGCCTCCTGCACTGAGGCAAATAATGGTTGTTCCATTACCAGACAAGATATTGTCCATCCTGTCATTATATCCCCCACCCCAGCTCCTGGCAAACACACCCTCATCCTATTTTTGTTCTTACCACAAAGGCCCTGTCCAAGTACCTTGACCGAGTCACCAACAATTAAATTTTTATACCTTCCTTGTCATCCCTGTCCCCTGTACTAACGTCAATCCGTCTATCAAAGGGACTGAACGAGTTTTTCACTTAGCTGTTGTTGTCGTATCCTTGGTGTTTTCTTCACCACCAGCTTCGTCTTCCCACTCCTCACAACCTTCCACTCCCTTGAGTTTTCGTCAGACACTGGCTTTCCCTGTCCCGCCTCCCCTTTTAACCTCGCCAGCTCTTCCTTTAATTTCAGGTTCTCCGACGTGGCCCTCTCAATTTCTTCCTTGGCCCTCGCCAATTCTTCCATGGACCACTCCAGTCTGGTCAACAAACTCGCACACCCATGACCATACATAGCACTGGCCATATCTGATAATTATCCCTCGGGATAACCCTGCCATGACCTTTCTTAATGAGGTCAGAACACAACTTACACAGCAGTAGTAGTGGTAGTAGAGTGGTGGTGGTAGAGGTGGTAATGATGGGAGAGAGAGACAGACATACAACACGCACACACAATACCTGTAGATACAAACCTACACATACCTGACTGCGTCCATTCTCCCAATCAGTCAATACTTTTCTCTACAAGTGAAAATATTCTCACTCTGTATACCTGAAGAATCTTCACCTCAGCAAATTTCACAAGATTAACCACTAACGTTATTTGGGGGATGAGTTAAGTTTTGTTTTGGTTTAGTTAGGTTATTAGGTTAGGTTAGGTTAGAGTTATTCTATCAGCAGTTCGTATGGAAAGTTCGCTGGGAAGTGTTTGGTTGGTTAGTGATCGGATCGTTCGCTGGTAAATACCCAAACAGTTCACTCCCAAGCAAACCTCCGCGCGTGACAAACCTAATTTTCTCCTTAAACCCTTGTATGGGGACTCCTCTGTGCTGAATAAAATCGTCTGGTATTAACCAGATAAATTTTACATGTGGTTAATAAACATTCTTCATTAACTGGATTTTATTTAACACAGACCAATGTACATGAAGGGTTTGAAATAAAATAAGAAAAACAAATGCTATTCCTCCATTTTTGTTTATATATTTGAGAAGAAACAATTTTTCTTCTATATAATTTTTCCTAAAGTGACTCCTTTTAACAGGATGGTGAAGTAAACTATTACGACAACATCAACTCTAGGAATAAACGTGAGACAATACGGTGTTCTATTTTAACAGAAGAAAATGTTGCTTCGTATTTTGTTTTATTAAGAATGAAATGTCAACAAGGTCAACATATTAAGATAGTTAAAATTAAACAATAATACTTTCCAGAAAATATCGACAACAAAATTAATAAATATAACAGCAAATGATACAGTGATCTTCAACACGTGAATCGAAAACAAGAACAAAAGTAAGGTAAAATCTTCTATAAAACAAAAAAATTCAAATTATTCAAATAAAAATGAAAAAAATGAAAAATAATCTCGACATGAACTCTTGTAGTCCAAGCGTATACTGAACTCTTTCTAAAACAAGAGATGGAGTATTGTTTTGGTGGGGGTGGTATCACTGAATGTTTCATCCAGACCCCTGGCTATACTGTACTCCACGGCACCAGGTACCTCCCGGGGTACATGCTCGCTACACATCTCTCTCATGCATTTATTCAGTCATCAATCTCTCTCTCTCTCTCACCAATTTCGTCGCATTTAAAGACCTATCTGACAAATCCTACCCGACATCCATTTAACTCTGTAATAAAACTCTATATGACAACTCACCCCATCGTACGTTAACAAAGAAGATGGGGGCGACAGTGTTCAGACAGGCGCGTCTCGCTAACCTAATGCCCGAAAAAACATGAAAAAAACGCCTTAATACGTTCTGGAGAGTCTTGTGACATCGTGGCGCCTGAGGGAAATATTGATATTTTATATTGATAATAACTCTGGTGTGACAGTTGTTCATTTGACCATTATTTTTAAAGCTTCTAATATTGTTGCATGCGTTGTCGTCTGAGATCACCTGAAGATTAGACACCCTAAGTTTATTTCACCTGAAGATTAGTCACCCTATCTTAATCTAACCTAAAACTAACCTAAACCTAAACCCAAGAAATAAAGGAACAAGATGTATACCCCACCATGAGAGAGAGAGAGAGAGAGAGAGAGAGAGAGAGAGACGCCCATCAGACACACGAGGTCTCATACACGACAGAGGGGGGAAATAATTGCCATCTATTAGGGACAA